GTTTTCATCGCCGCTGTCATGAGTAATGCTGACTCCTTCGAAACTACCAACACTTTCTCTTCGACTTCCCCCGCTCGCTGATGATGCTGGAGCTGTGGAAGCAGCTCTTTCCTCGCCGTCGATCATTGCTAGTGGCCTTCCGGCGGGATTCGCTCGTTGTTTATTCCGCACTACAGACTCATGTTGTGATGGAGGAAGGGAGGTTGAATGGGAGTCATGGGGTGATTGTTGCACTTTATGCCTCCAAGATACCAATGAGGTAGGTATATTGAGGATACCATCCAAGAGCCAGATGGGCAGAAGGCTTGCCAAAGTGTAAGTGCTTGCTCCAGCACCTACATTGATCCGATAACCTCTCAAGTAGAGATAGATGTTTCTCCATGATCGTTGAATATGGGATAGTAGCCAGAGAGGATGCCATTGCGGTCGCGAAGGCCTATGTCCGTGCACGAGAGGAAGAATGGTGGAAAGCAGTGTATCAACATCTGTCGGGCGCCTCTTCGACACATGACGTTTTCGGTGTCGTTTAGAGGGAGAGGAAGAGGAGATGGTGGAGGAATGGACCAGAGCTGTTTCGTATGCGGAGGCGTAGGCATGTCTTTCGCTGGCAGACCAGGCCTTGGTAAGCGTTACAATGTCTGGCTCATCTCCCGTGCCCTGTTCTGATGGAATTGTTCCCGAGTTTGATTCTTTGGTCGGGTCGGCGATAGAACCGACATCAAGGAGAACGACCTTTGTCCTATCTCCGATCTCCCTACGAAGGACTTCTAAGCCTTTGACCAGACCCGCTGTTGCCATGGCGCGTGCACCATCAAAGGCAACACCAATTCGACTTGCTACTGCTGGAACGAGCACGATGACACTCGTTTGGGTTGATGCGTGTCTCGACTTTCCGACGCCTTGCCTCCCAGTAGCAACACGAAAAAGAGGCAGGATTCGTTGGATGACTGCAAGGGTTGTGATATGGGTTTCATAAAGAATTGGAAGGTAAGATGATGAGAGATCGAGTCGCTCTAGTGGCATTGGTATAGGGTTTGGTGCGATGGGAAGCAGGGAGATACAGGATACTAGAGCGTTCGTCATTGGAAGAGCTGATGGCGAGGAACCTGATGGTAAATAAGGGTCGCCGGGAGTATTCAGTGGGAATCTTAAGGAGAGAGCTGCATTGAGAGAACGATAAAAATACGGGATGGAGGCAGGCTATACGGGCAGTGCATCGTGAGTTTAGATGTCCTCACAATGATTATTAAAACCCACTTCTTTTGGATTGAGTACGAGGGCTTTGACGTTCCCTTTACTGGCTTTCTCCTTGATGTCGGTTCTATCGCCGACCCGACCAAAGAATCAA